GTGCAGGGCCGCCGCTCGTTGCACTTAGTGAGGGACTGGGCAAATTATAGCCACGAAATCTAAATCATATCAATAAACATCTAAATTACTCTTCGTGATACCCTGAGAAAGTTATCCGGTTGCCCTTCCCCTCTCTTTTATGACGGCTTGATAATATGGTTGAAATAAACATATACTGGATAATTGTTCAACAATGACTCATGTAATGGTGTAAGTTGTTGCAAAATATTTGTATTCATAGTATAACATTACTAGTCTCTTTAAAACATCATATTATTCTACATAACATAAATTGTAAAAATATATTAATTATATCCCTATTTTTCATTTTAAAATTGTGTCAACATGGGTTTTTTAAATGGTAACATTCATTTTTAGCTATTTTGCAAATTAAAAAACCACTAACTAATAAAATATCGATAAAAGGCTTTTGAATCATTATTTTAATAAATATTAGAGTATTTTCATATCTATAAGGAAAGATGAAAGCAACTCAGAAACGCCTATGCATAAAAATATACCACATTAAATTCTGTTTTTTTAAAAAAAGAAAAATATATAAATTTTTATATTTATCAAATGTTTTGTAGAACATGTGATTAAGCAATCGCCTTAGGATAATTTATGGTAGTAAACATATTTCAGTATCTAATAATTATTTTAAGTTTTATCATAAGTTTATTATTTTGATTAATTTATTAATATTTGTTTTTAATGTTTTGAAAATCGCATTATCTATCACTTTATCGAAGATAACGGATATAATAATCAAAACTTTTAGGTTTATTAAAAAATATTATTTTTACTTGAAAATAATAATTTTTAATTTCTGTTGAATACTCATTTATGCAGCTAATGAGTATAATAGACTTAGCTCAAGTTGAAGAATTGAACCTGTTTCAAAAAAAAAAAAAATCTACTATATTCTTGTTTAATCAAAATTTAAGTATATTATAAGAAAACGCGTATTATATGAAAATTCACGTTTATGGATTTAATGAATATAATTTGTAGTATAAATTGAGAGTTCACTAAGGATAAAACGGACAAAAACTACTCGGTTTTAAAGCGTGGTTTAAGGCGTTTAATTTAGGCAACTTAACTATCAAAGATTCTCATAAAATACGTTGTACACGCGACGTTGCGGTTAACAGGAAAATCATTTTTAAAAAGGTACCAGGGATTCAGAAAGAGTACTCAATTTTTATAATGGTTTTCATTAACCGTGTCGAAACGCAATGGACTAGTGAATCATTCGAATTCTAGAAAAACGGTACCAGGGACAAAAATGATTATCCTAAAAGCCGAAACTGATAATGGCGTCAACGGGACGACGTTATATTCTGTCGGCTATTTCAGACAGCCTGGCGTATCTAAATGGGTAACTCACACGAATGATTTGTTACAGAAACCCTGTTACAATTATCTAACAAACATGTTTTCCGAGAAATCAATTACTATCCCTTTACAAAAATATTTTAATCTATGCGTTCTGTCTACATGATGTGTAACGCGCAAAACATAAAATTAACGCACGCGGTTAAACAAATATCGTACGCATCTAGTAACGCGTACACCTACTGGATATACTCACTAATAGTGAGTCACTATTGTCGTAGGAACGTGTACAGAATAATAGAAAATAGCAGACAAAAGTTCTTCAAATCACCATTAGGTTTTCAATGATTATGTTTTGAACTCACGTTCATGTATTGCGGATCGTAACGTAGACACTGTACCCTCCACTAATATTTACTAATTACAATCATTAAAAGTCATACTGTTCTTAAATATAGTCTCACCAACATTGAGTTATTTTAATACACAAATATATATATAACAAACTAGATTGCCGAGTACCTTGTGCTAGCCGGACAAACGGCTGAAGACACACACCGTTCCGCCATTTCGAGTAGGTCGAATATAACTTATCACATTAAATAATTTGATATCATTGATGTTATTGTGTTTATTCAGTGTTTTTACCAATTTTCAAACCAGTGTTTCGCCTTTCGGCGCATTTAAGGTACTCAAAGGGGTCCAATCCAGACCTAATCCGGGAGGAGGTGATCAGCACCCCTCTTACTGCGCCGTGGAAGCACTTAGCAAACTTCCAACCCGTAAATATCCACAGATAATTCGCGTAATTTTGGCAAGAACAATCCAAGGTTCTAAATCTTCGGTTAATAACGCCAACAATTGTCTCACTTCCCCCTCCTCACTGAACACAGGTACTCTGCGAATATTCCTAGCACTTTACTATGTATTATTATACATAGTTCAAGTAAGACTTTTGGGAAGGTCATGAATGTTCGGTCAAAGTTGTTTCATTTAGAAGTATTTATATAAAAAAGGATAACAACATCGTCTCCTCAAATTCAGTTGGACTAAAATTTCTGTCAGCAACACGCTTCCTTTAAAATTATCGATCTATAAAGTTATTTTCGATGTTTCTCCGAGTATTCGTTCTCCTGTCCAATCTCGAAAACGTTCTGTCACAGTAAGTAGCGATGCAGTCACTGTAGTCTCTTTGACCACACTGATTCTAATTGTAACGTCAAGTCAACCACTCCTCCTTCGTGTATATTTTGTAAACTCAATCGACCTGCGACGGATCGATCTTGCAGCGAGTAGTCTGTGCAAAATAACATTAAAAAAATAATGACCACAAACTATGTATCGTTTTCTGAAGCGTTCACCAACAAACGTTCCAGCTTAGTTTATAAAACATTTACCTTTACTGATTTTATAAAAAATACATCTCCCACAATCTCCCTTTCGCAGTTAATACTCTTAATTCCCGTTATCCCATTGTAATTATTTCCATCATATCTTTCCAGAAGAGTTCCGGCTTTGTCATTTAATCTCTAATTATTTTATTTTATTTTTTTCCTTTTTCCATTCTTTCACATGAAAATTTTTCAATTTGTGTGTTAAGAGCTCAATTACAATAATTTTTAATTACTCTCTATTTTTGAGTTTACTAACAGTTATTTTCATACTTGTTGTACCATTATAACATATTATTGTTACTGTTAAATTTCTTATTTTTTTTTTTTATAATTATTGAGCTGATTATTATTTTAATAAAGGCTATAAAAAAAAAACCAGCACAGGGGGGTCGCGGCATATTGGTGATGTGGCATAGTTGGATCAAGTATAATAATATCTGACAGTGATTAAAATCACTATAAAAAAACGCTTCGATACAAATCACTAGATAGTGTTTAAATTTAAAAAATTGGTGGATTATTCCAAAAGCTACATGATCTATTATTTCCTTATTAATATCCTGACAAAATAAAGACCGAATTTTTTTTTTTATGATAAAGTACATTACATTAGCTTTAATTTAAGATATATATAAAAGTGTCAGACTTTTCGGAACACTTTCAAAAGTTTAGTTGAAAATGTTAATTTTTTGTGAAAAAATTGTCATTTTAAATCCCCCCCGTGGGCAGGTAAATCGGTTCGGTGAGAGCTGAGAAAAAGTGGTAACAGACACACAATAATAAAAAAAAAAAAACACATCATAGTAAAACCAATACCTTCTTAGCTTTGCATCGAAGCTAAAATGAATAAAAACTTTATCAGTGATTCGGCTCATTTGACATTAAGACATTTCTATGATTTGACCAACTAAAAATGACATTTTTGTGGCTTCGTATTTTAATCCCTAGTTAGTAAACTAGTTTATTATCTACATCTGTGATTAATAAAATAACAATCCCATCAAAAACATTGAAATAGCCATTATTATAAAAAATATTATTGCAAGTGGACTTTCTTAATAATACTGCCTGTAACAACAACATTGTTTGCCACTTGCATAACGACTAGCTATAGTAGCAAGGATCGCCACCACCCAAGCGAGTTGTCCCCCTATCAGATATGATTACCGAACCATAGGTGGAATTTAATTTTAAGTTAATTAAAAGTATAATTTAAGTTAATATGTCGTTATATGTATACATTACTATAATACCTCGTGGTTTATTAAACACAATTATGACGATCAAAGTATATGTGGTTGATATGTAAAACATACCGTAGACCGATTAAGGAATAGGGATAAAATACACGCGAGTAATTGAGTTACTCGCGCAGTAAAATAAATATTACAGTTGAAATTAATAAGGAAATTTAATTTAATTGTTAAAAAAAAGAAAATTAAGTTAAACATGGACAAAAATGCGAATGCATCAAAAACCATGTCTACAAATAAATGCAATAAAAATAAAATAAAATATTTGAACAAAAAAAAACAAATAATATTACAAACATCACGACGGTATTGGAACACATCCGTTAATGTTAATGGGAAATTAATGAAAAACACCAAGAGCGGTATGGACACTCGCTCCTTAGCGTTGGCTAGAAGAAAAGGGAAACACGTGCTCTCCACACATAAACAAAATTAAGTTAATTTACGATAAAATAAAAATGAAATAAAATAATTAATAAAATATAGCTCATTACATAAATATAATATATAAAAAAAAACGATACCCGGTCTCCGAAGAGACCCATCCGATGGTCTGAATGCTTCGCCGTTGGCGGCTCTACTCCATCATTGAAAAAAAATGTCAATAAAACAATAAATGTGTGCACCCTAGCACGGTCAATGACAGAAGAAGGAATGGAGAAGAGTCAACACCGATCTAACGGCAATTTCAAATAGATAACGGCCAGTCTTTTTGGAAGGAATCAATACTGATAAACAATTCGATTTTAATTATATTTCTCTTTTATCGCCTTATCTAGCGGTCAGCGGCAAAATAATGAGTGGTTGACACCACTGTGTCAGAAAAAGGTTCTTTTGAGCGATAAAATAAATAAGAAGACATAACCAAAATCATAAACGGTCCACCTTCAAATTTGTGACGTTACATTATATTTATTTTTATTAACAAAATATAAATAAATTAATGCATACAAATTTGTATAAAATTAAAAATAAATATTAATTTATTAATTTCTTTGTAAAATAGCACAAACACTAATAAATAAAAAATCATGCTTTAAAACATTGAAATAAAAATAAAATTTTTAAACAATAATCTTACAATATATTTATTGATATAAAATAATAAATTCAAAACAAATATTTTTAGCAATATTATTATAACATCCAAAATAATTTAGCATGCATTTGTAGCATAACATGGCGATTAGTAGAAAATAGCTATATTATTAAAATTATCATAATCGATGGGCTCCTAAGACCCATCAAATATAACTAAAATAGGCATTATTGAATAAAATACATCTCTTTTTTACTAATAATTCATTTGATTATAAAATGACATACAAATAATAATATAAAAATATAATATATAAACATATAGATTTTATCTTAAATAATTAAGTATAAATTTATAAAAACTTATTTGTCAACAGTTTTAATGATACTATAAAAAAATTTCATTACATTTTTGATTAAAAAAAAAAGTAAGTCAACATTAAAATGAACTATAAAATAAATTTATAAAGAAATACATAAATTGATGATTTATTAAGTTTATGATAAAATTTTAGTATAAACAAAATATAAAACCAAATTTTGTTATTCTAAAATTAATAGGATTTTGTAAGTTAAAGGTAAAATAGAGTGTTGTTTAATTTTTCATGTGGCATTTGTCTCACATTTTGTCCAATAAGGAATGCTAACTTGTGAGCATACTGTAACAAGTAGTATTAAAATTAAGTACAATATAAAATTAATCAGATAAATATACTTAATTATAAAAATAATTTAACATGACACTATGAACACTTAATTTTTTCAAAATATGTTAATTTTTCATGAAATTATTTTAATAATATTAACATTTAAAAGTTTAAAACAATGTTAAATTACTTATCAATATAATTATTTAATGTTCTAATAAGTAAAAAAATAATACTAAAATATCTAAATATACAGTTCTACACTTTCAAATAATTTTTGATGTGCAAATTCATATTTTACTTAAAAATATTCAAATTAGTTTTCAAAATTGCTTTTTAGAATGTAATTTGCTTTTTTATTTTTAAAAAAATTGAGAGAAGGGTTTATATAACCAGTCTCAGACGATCATTTAAAATTTATACATTTTATTTATTAATATTGAACACATGCAGTGGCTTAACCAGAATATATTTTAGTGTAGTATAGTCCCCTACTCCCTCATGGTTGTACCACTGTACAAACGTTAGAATAGTTTTATATAAATTTAAATCAAATTAAATTTTTTAAATAAAAAATTTTACATATTAGAAAATATCCTTCCCACATTACTAACAAGTCATATAAAGAATTTTAATAGATATACTCTATTAGTAGTAAACACTATTTTTAATTTGAAAAACAAAATGTTTATAAAATTTCTCGAAGATCTGAAGAAAACCTTAATATCAATTATTTTTGATAAAAACTTTTGAATAAATAAAAAGTTATGGAAATAATAAATTTGTAGAAGATTGGAGGTAATTAAATTAATTTAATTTAGCCTTCATATTTTTACAAGTAAACACACACAAATCGTTTCTACTGATATTATTAGAAAAAATAAAAAGTTTGCCAATGTATTTAATAAATACTTTAAATGATTAAAAATAATTTATAAATTTGTAAATTAATAACAATAAATTAATATAAAATACCTGAACAGGAGCTGGAACTTTAATAGTACCACACCAATTGTAGTACAAATGACAGAGTTTGTACGACAGCCTTTGTACATTTTCTGTACTAAGGTTACAACCATTTTTCAATACTATATAATGTGTTGGATTTACTGTACCCTAAAGAGAAATAGATGAGTTAGTCAAATAAAGCTAATTTAATACAGAATATTATTATAACATTTAATTTACATGTTTATAAAATAAAAGTATTGGTCTATTAATTTTAATACATTAAACTACACCATTCTCTAAAACTGTAAATAATATATGATCTAAATAATATTTTAAAAGTATGAATATATTTAAAGTATATGAACAAAATAAGTATGTTTAACCTGTCGTGTATATTGAGATACCAAAAAAAAATCAAAATAATTTCTTCGAGTTACAGTATTATCAATGACTGTTCCTGCAGCAGGATTGGAATAATTCTTGTCAGATATATACTAAAATATATATAAAACTATAAGTAAAAAATTCATTTTCAATTAAAATTTGAATAGAACAAGACATACTTGTAATACTCGTGTATTGATACGTTTTTGAACAATTATATAAGTTATTTTTGGAATATAGTGTTCTGTAAAACTCTTAAAAAAATTTTCTAAGTCCTGTAATTCCAATTCTTCAACTTTCTTGATATCTCCATCTCCAACACCATCCCTGTATATTATAATTTTCTCTGGAAATACTCCATTTTTCTAATTAATAAAAAACCAAAAGCACATTTGTTGATAAAATTTTAATGAATGCCTATGTATAAGATAAAATTTGAAATAGTACTGAAAATACTCTAGGACTGCAAGTTAATGTATCTTCAAAAAAATAAAATTCTTGAATTTTTATTATACAGAGTGATTGGCTAACTATGTCTCACGTAATATCTTTAAAAATACTAGTGATATAAACAATTTTTTTATAAAATCATTATGGATCTTTGATGAGCTTTTTCACAAGAAAAATTAAATTCATATCATCATCCCTTATGCTTAGAACTTGTATCAATTTCAGACATTCAAATGGTAACCCTATATTATTTTTATATATTTTTGTTCATCATAAAAAAAAATGTTTAGCAAAAAAAAAAAATTATGAATTTTAAATAAGATACACTACTATACAATTTACGATATTTGATAATGATAGCTGATGATGTAGTTTTTCCAACACAGTCACATTATTAATTTATGGAGCGATAAGAGCTACTGGTTTACTATGTCACAGCAAATAGTCAGAATCACTAAGGTAAGCTTGTTATGTTTATTTATAAAACTGATAGCGCTTATACATTTACGACCTATAACGTTCGAGTCTGTTATAATTTTTTAAGAAAAAATAAAGCCTAAACTTTAGAGCCCTGGAGTACTTAATATTAAATAAAATAAAATATATTTTTACAAAACATTTTTTTTATTAAACTAAACCTAATGGTGTAAAAAAAAAAAGGAATGACAATTAAAGTATGAAATTGATACAAGTTTTAAGCATAACAGAATGCTGGTAGAAATTTAAATTTTTTTATGAAACACCACATCAAAGATTCATAATGATTGAAAAAAAGTTGTTTATAACTCTTGTATTTTTAAAGATATTACGTGAGACATAGTTAGCTGATGACTCTGTACAGTGTTTTATCAAGTTGGAATAATTTTAATGGGTTGATAGTAAAACTTTAAAATAAGTATTCATTTAGTAACTAGCATTTTAATAAATAAAGTGGGTATATAACAAGTGTAGGTACAGTTTGTAATGGTGTATATTTATAATACATACTTCACTTACACTACATACTTGTTTTATAAATTAAAATACTTGTCATTCAATAAGTACTTATTTTAAAGTTTTCATCAACCTATCATCATTTTTTGTAAGAAAAACTCTAAAAATCTATTTTAAAATTTCAAAAGAACGTAATATTATTTAATGAAACCATAAAACTAAATAAAAAATATGACTAAAGAAAAATTAACCTACCATCTTCCATCTTTGTAAAACTTTACGAAATGAATCTTGAATTGGCTTGACAAGTTCTTGATGAGTACATTTTTGCATTGTAGCAACAGAAGTCCACTGAGTAAAATGTTTGTCAAGAGACGCAATAAATCCAACAACACTACTTACTTGTTTTCCCTTTTCATGGTATACATCTATACCTACTATCATGGTTAATGTCTGAAAATTAATTAATAACAATTTTATTTATATAAAAATTTTAGAAACCGGAACAAACTAAATAATTATTTATATAAATATTTTTTTAATTTCTAAATTGTATTCTAATTTCCAAAATTGGTAAAAAAAAACTTAACTAAAAAATTAGTTTGAATTTAGCCTATTTAATATACTTCAATCAAATAAGATAAAATAAATAATATATAATAAGACAAATATGCATCACTTAATGTTTGATTTTCTAATTAATAAAGGCATCAGTTTATTTTAAACTAAAATAGTTTATTTCAAATTATTATTTTTATAATCAAAACCAACAAAAATAATTATTACATACATTTGTAAAATCAAAAATTTAATAAAACTTACTAATGGAATTTCAATGGCCCAACATGATCCTCCGAGTTTACAATTCATTTGTAATGCTATCTTTTGAGTAATAGAACTCAATTTATCAGGTTTCGACAATGTTCTTGAAACTATAACCTTAACACATCAAATTTATATAACTATAATTTAAATGTTAAAATAAAATGTCGAAAATGAACAATTATTAATTTTATTTTATTATAATTTAAGGTGTACTATTTTTCTAAGTATATGTCAGTTACATGTTTTAGCTTATTTCTTTAATTTAAAGTTAATGTAAATTAACTGATAAGTCTAGAAAACCTAAATTGTACTCCCTTGATATTTCAAATAAATATTTAGAGATGTAAACTTCATATGGGCTCAGAACTCAAAACATTTTAAAAATTTGTTTGGACCATTTCCATAACACCTAATTCTTGAAAAATTATCTTAGGTATACAGGAACAAATCTAACTACTGACATATCCTATAACTGTTAATACAACCATTTTAAAAATTGGAAAACATTTATTATTATTATTAAATATAAATATTAAAAATATTAACATAATCTAAAAATGCAAAAGTTACTAAAACTTTTTGTTTTATAAAGAAGTGACCCCTATGCTCTCATAATTGAATTCATAATTAATTTGCATTTTTCAGTATTAAGAAAAAGAAACACTACTATCTATTCTTCATTCATGTACTCAGAATGACTCTAACATACTTTATAAATGGGGTGTCACACCACCCTAATTGATAAAATTAAATATTTTTAGTGGCAATATTGTAATATAAAAGGATTTAAAAAAAATTATTCAATCGGTAAAAATACAATTTTTACACTCCCATATTTTTAGCTTCAGAGCAACACTGGACTTAATTCATTTTTATTCAATAGCTATTGATAGCTTGAATTAAGTTTACATTATTTTAAATCATCAATAAACTAACACAGGTATTAACAGTTAATTATTTAAAAATCCTGTTCATGATAGTATCATAAAAAAATTATGATACATTACTTATCAATTTAATATTCAAGTTAAAAAAATATTTTTTTGTAAATTTTTAGCTAAGATAATGAAAAGATTAAGAGAATGATGAAAGTAAGGGTTTACAGTAATATTTTTATTAATAAAATAAAAGTCTAAGTATTTAATATAACTAAAAATACCTGAGAAGGAAGTCCTAGATCTGCACAACAAATTTTTTTTACAGCATTATACCTATCTTCTCTTTGGTTTGGGAATAAAATAACAATAAACTGCAAATCAAAATGATTTGAGATGACCCGATTAACAGTAGCAACAAAACATTCCACTTTAATTCCGTACACTTTAAACTTAACTGGTACATCTATGTCCATTCCTAGTAGTCTTCCACATTTTATTAATGAGCAACAAAATGTATTAACAAGTTGTTCATCTCTTTGAGTGAATAAAATTGCCCATTTTTTCATATTAACCTAATAAATAAGATTTATATCAATTAAATCATTTTGAGAACATCCAAAGCAGTCATAAAATCATTAACGTTATTCAATAAATATTTACAGTTAATATTTACTATTTACATTTAAAAACATAGTAAATAATTTTAAAAGATATTTAATACTTAATAGGTTCTTTTTGTCTTACAGCAGCAAACATTGCATTTTTCGCAATATCTTGACACCAATCCATTTTTTTTTCAACTGGTGTTTTAACTTCATTTCCAAAAATAATATTTTCATTTCTATACACTGGTCCTTCAAGTTTCACAGGAACATGACTCAAATTAAGACCCCAATCTTTTAATTTTTTACTTGTAACCTCATGTTCTAGAATCAAAAATATAAAATAATTTAATACGTGCAATTCAATAACTTGATATAAGATTAATCAGATGTAATTTAATAATACAATATTAAATTAATTATTGATATATACAAAGCAAAAAATGACTATGCCATAGCCATCTTTTATAGATTCTTAATTAATGGTTTTACTTAACAAGAGAAAGGAAAAGGGCTAGTTTTTCCTAATTCTAATAAGCATATTAACAAAATTATACATGTACTTAAGAAAGTGTAGTAAATAGAAACTTTTTATCTCATTTAAATAAAATAATAGTTAATATCTATTAGATGCCTGATAATAAAAATAAATAATAAAAACTTTTAACCTCATTCGCCATGTTATACAACTTGATAATGCATACTAATTATAAATATATTTACTGCATGTAAAAATTGTAACCTGAATAGAAAAAAGAAATCAGATTAAAACTAAAAAAATATATTAGGGCAACAATTTTTGGTTCTTGCAAATTTTTAAAACTTTTATCATAAAAAGTAAAAACACCTCATCAAGTATTTTTTTTTTATAATTAAAATATCAAATAAAAATAATAATATAATTATATGAGCAATGATATCCAAACACTCACTATTATATAATGAGTACTATATTATTATTATTATTATTAATAAATTCAAATTTTTATTTTGACATAAAAAAAATGTTTATTGAAGAATTATATTTTAAACCTACCATAAATTCGTTGCACAAAGTTCATTATAGCATTTTGTCGTTTTTCTGGGTTAACTAAAGTGTAATCTCGAAGAGTCTTCATTAATCTTGTATCTGTTTTCATTTTTTCTGTTAAACCTGTTAAGTTACATAGTTCTGGAACTAAACTAATACTATCATTTTCCTAAAATGAATTTTATTTAATTATTAGTTAAATTTTTGATAATGTAAACAATAAATATATCATACTAACCATACTGCTGTTCTTAAATAAATCTTTTTTTTTTGCTTTTGAAATGATCATTGGTTGTGTAAGACATTGAATTTCAATTTTGTAATAAATTCTATAATATTCTGCATATGAAATCTAAAGATATTAAAGATATTAAAAAATTAATTAATTTTTTTATATTAATCATCTACTATAAAATGTAAATAACTTAACTATGTTAACAATAATAAAAATATGTCTATATAGCACTAAAATTATTGAATACATAATATTAAGAACTCCAATAATTAATGATCAAAATGTTAAATACAAATCTAGTTCTAATTATACAATACAAATCGAACTTCTAATTATTAGTATTATCAACTAATCTACCAAACTATTTTTTTAAATTTAAAGTAATAATATCACGAACCTTAACAATATTACTTAAAACAGCAACATATATTTTTAAGGAATAGATGTAAAGATTGAAATACAAAATGAATATGATTATGGCTAATACTATAAATTTGTTTAACAGTAAGCTGGAAATTGATGCTTAAAAAATTGTCTATAACTACTTTCAAAAACACAAATGTTGAGATAATGAACAATAGTAAATTTTTTTTGTTTGATGTTCATATAGTTTTAATAAACTTAGAAAAAGTTACATATGAAATGTAAAAACTGAAAAAAAAAATTAAAACTACTTTAAAATATCTTATCATTTACAACAATTGTATGATTAAGAGATTTTTTAATTAGAAAATGTTATACTTCTTAACATTATTAAACTTATCATTAACTTTAAGAAAAAAAAATTGTTACCTGTACACCATTTTTTTCAAAAGTTGATAATGGTGTCATACTAAAATCAATATCATCAATTCTATAAGTTTTTCTGTTGTAATGTGTTATTACTGTAGAACCACACAACGCAGCCATTATTTTTTGTTTATAATCTTCTTGTTTTGATTTCATTATTTCAGTCCTAGAAGATTACCAGTTTTAATTAAAATTCATATATATATATAACCTTATTTCAAAGAAGTATAATTAAGTGAACTGCACATTCCCATTAGTTCCTTTTATTTAATAAAAAATATAGCTTATTAAAAAATAATTGGCTATGATTATACAAGATTTTTGTAATGAATCAAAATTTATAAAGATAGAAATCCACCTTTACCATCTTTACTTTAATAAAGTATAAAATGCAATAAATTATACTATCATTGTCCAAAAAAATAATTTTAATTCGAAGCATCCAAAAAATTTATTTGAATTGGGTTCAGAGATTCCAAAATTATTGAATACCATGTACATTTCATTTTCAATTTTACATACAAAGGGTCAGCAACAATTATACCAAAATTTTAATCAATTTAGTTATTAACATTAAATATATGCGCACAATGGACCAACAGGTCTGAGTGCATGGGCATTATGTCCACCTCGATAATAACTAACATTAAATATAGTCCTTTATTTTTTAAATACAATTTTTATCAATTATAATCAATTGTCGTTACACAAAACAAAACACAAATGGAAAAGGGTAGTAAAGGAGGGGTGGTGTGTAGTAGTGTACGAAGATGATATTGAGTCTGCTGCCAGGGTATTTATTAAATATTAATTGTCAATTCATCAGTCTCTAGAAGCGGATGTGCTGTCTGTATTTTATTATAATAATTTTTTACAATAATGGTAATGACACAATCACATAATAAATGAAAATAGAAAATTAAAAAACAATTACATTTCAAAATGTATGATCTTCAGCAAATTCCATTTTTTATAGATTATATTATTTTTTCTATTTTTAATCTAATATTTTTGTTCACATACAGGCTTAATCCCAGTCCTAGATATTATATAGTTTGTTAAATACTAGATTAAATACTCATACTAAATTCCAAACTACTCATTTTAATTTCTATACTCTTTCACTGGGTAACTTTCTCAGATGTATTACAGCAACTTCATGGGATTAACATACTTCCTCTCTTTTATAAATCTTTAACAAATTTATTCATACCAAAGTTGAATATAGCTTATTTTTATTATCTTCACATTTTATCACATAGAGGAAAAATACTTAACTCTTTATTAACCACCTGTTTACAATAATATGATTAGTATCCTTAAATCTTTACTGGCCTTACTATTTCTATTTAGTGCTCCTCACCACTCAACAAAACATTTTAGGCAATGGCTAGCTGGTACATTTCTTCTGAAATATCTCTTTTGCTATAATTCCCATATCTATTATTAAACCTATAATTAGAAATAAAATTATCCTGGTGTTATACTCCAAAAACACTTCCAATCTTAGTTTCAGATTGATATTTTTTTCTTTTCCTTAGCTTTACATATTATAAATGACATTCTAGTTACACCTAATTGATTCATGCTTCTTACTTTAACTCTATCTGCCACTGTGTACACTAATACCTTTTTTTTCAGTTATTCATCAAAAAACTTTCACACCTTAGCTTCAGTCATAAACCTTTACACAAATTACATATCATCTAATTTTCAACTAAAAGTATAATTTCTACTGATGGTTCTATATCAGTCAATTTAGCCAGATGCTCATTCTGCATTCTAGAACTATTTAAAAAGTTATTTTTAACAATTTTATAATATATTTTTAATGATAATTTTATAGTTATCACATGGTGAAAATAACCATTCCTTTATGTGTTAACTGACGCATTTATTTTTTTTTTTATGGAAAGAAGACATTTTGATCATTTGATAGAAATCATTATTTTAAAATTAAAAAAAAAATTTAGGCATGTTTCTTGCACTTTTTTTTAAGTACAAAAGTCTAAAAATTCCAAAAAAATTTAAATTAGCAACAGTTAAAATAATAATAGAATATAATGCAATAGAAAGCACTCATAATGTATTATAGGAGTATCCTTAATTTGATTTTAGAGAGTTTTATGTCTTTTTTGCACTCTTTTTTTTTTTTGACAATCACTGATAACATCACTACATTCATGTTCTAATTTGGGTTTGAATATTTTATCAATTAAATGGCAATGTTTACTAATTTGCTCTAACTTCATATTTTCTTACTATATTAGTTAATTTTATATCTCCAAAATGATATTAAATAAACAATCTGTCTTGTTTTTGCATAGATACAAAAACTGATAAAATTTGATTTTTAAAAGAAATGGCAAGCTACAAGGTATAAGGTATCATAGATATCAAGATACTAGGTATCATTTTATTAATAATTAAAAATAAAGAAAATTATATACATAGAAATGTAACACAAATAATTTATACAAAACTTAAATACCAACTTTTCCAAAGACAAATTGCAATAAAACGTAAATGCTTATTATGTTACATGGAAAATGTATAATCATTCAACCAATAAAACTATTAAAGATCAAACATTACTTTTTATGAATTTTTTCAATAATCAAACTTTAAAAAATAATTTTTTCTAGTTTTATTGAGAAAATATTCCTATATGAAGTGACCATCTAGCCTTATTTAACTCTTAACTCCTAAATTTTTCAACTTCAAGAATTTCTGCTTAAGACTTCCACCGCCATTATACATAATATATATACATTTAGAAAATAAATCTAATTAAGACTTATATAGCTGCTACAAATTATAATTAGAAACATATAATTTTTTACTTTTAAAATAACTCTTTATGTAAAAGTTTACAACATCAAGATTCTAATAGGATAAAGAGAGTATTTTAGTTAAAATTATGTTTAACTTGCTACATAAAATTTGTTTTGCTGTTTCAACAACACCTGCACTATTTTAGCTTTACTAGCATTATTCAAGAGCTTAAGCATTTCTTTAATAAACTTTAGACAAAATAAACTTACATTATTACTAGAATAGATTGTGTTTGTAAAACTCTGTGTGAAACTTCACAGCATAAGTAAAGTCCACCTTCAAAATTATCAATTGAGGTGATAAAACCTGGCCATACTTCCAAACTAGAAATAGAATTTATTTTAATAATAAATTAGTAATTTAAGAAAATATATTATTACGCACAACAAATAAAAGACACTTAAAACTTAATAAGAGGTTAAGAGGTATTTTAATTTATATATTACTTTTCCTATAACTACTTTTATCAAAATATCAAACATTTGAATAAAATCAGAATCAAACTACTTAGAAAATTAATAAACCTGTAGTTTGATGTAGGAATAAATTTTATTTTTAACCTTCTGAAAGGTAAGAAAAATGATATGTTGTGCATTCTGTTGTATTTTCTGAATTAACTAATTTTTTCTTTATAATTATAACTTCACTTAATACATACTTATACTCTTGAACTAATATTCTTTTAGCCGGATCATACATACTTCTACCAAATTCGACTAAGCCCAAAACCTTCATTATTTGACGAAGGAGTACATTGTAGAAATGAATACAATCATGCATTGATGTTTTACGTTTAAATGTTATTGTTAATTTAAATTCAGAATCTAATTTACTAATAAGGATAGTTTCCTAAAAATAATTTTTTAAATTAATATTTATCTTATCTCATAATCAAAAATTTAATTTAATAAATAACTAACATCCTGAGGTAGTTGACTAGGAATATACAGAGCTGTGCCATCAAAAGTCTTGACAGGAAATAAGTCTTTGTGCTGATTAAGTAATGCAAATCTGGCTTGCCTGGCATCAACTGGAGGATCATAATCAACCCTATATTCATAAATACCTTTGTTTTCTTCAAGAAAGATTTTGAGATAATTTGATGATAGTTCCGTCCTATTATATCAAAAAAAAAAAAGAAAAATTAAGCAATATTATTACATTATTGTCCATGAGAAGGCAAAGAAAAAACTCAGTTTATCTTTAGTGAAATAATTTACCATCTAATGTTATATAATATACATAGAAGAGGTGATTTAATTGGGGGTACACTCGCTGTATACCCATCTCTTAATTTTTTATTTATACACCCGTAACAAAAATCTAGATTGGTAGATAAAAACAAAGGAACAATAATTCTTATTCCCTTAATTTTATCCCGATTAGTTATTTGCTTTATAATTATAATATATGAATAAATAATAATTATAGTAATAAAATTTAATATGAAATTGATATTCAATAATTTAATATTGTAATTTTTACAGAGATATTATAAAAATAATAAAATAGTTATTATAAAGTATATTTCTTTATTTTAACGTGCATAAAAATATAAAGGGCTTGATGCAATAAAAAAAAATTGTTATTACTTAAGAATAAATACACTGGCTTACAAGGCATTTTCATCAGAATCAAGAATATACTTTTCTAAATTAATTTTTAGTGCTGCTTTCAAATCTGCAATTAGACTTTTTCTATCACTTCTAATTTTTTATATGATTTCTAATTATACATAAAAAAATTTGTTTTTAAATTATTACTGATTTTGATTTTTAATATTTTAAAAATAATCTGTCCAAAATTTAATTTTTAACCCATTTTTTGGTCCTATAAAGTCTTAATAAAGTTTTGTGAAAATTTATAGTAAAAATAGTTGTTACTATAACTTTTAGCTCAACTTGCAAGTTTGAAATTGACATTATTAAATAGAAAATTTTATGAGAATAAAAAAAATAGTATTGTTAAGATTAATATGCATTCAGGAAATTGTATAATTACTATTTACTGTAAATTTATCAGAAAAGCTCAATATTTTTTTTTGCATTTTTATCGTAATAGATAACTTAAATAGAAATAATAGTAATCATTTCCTAGAAACTTTTGTTGTTTAAAAATATTCTACAATTGAAATATTATAAAATTTGAGTATAAACCTAATTCAACAGTAAATACTTTTAAAAAATAAGTGAAAGCTGAGAAAATATATGACAGCCCAAAAAAAAAACCACATGGTAAAATAATTTTAATATGAATAAGAAATTTCATATTCATTAAATTTATTGAATCTAAATGAGATACAAATCAAATGAGTTGAAATTTTTGCTAACTCAAGAAGAATTAAGAAAAAATGCAAAAAATTCTTTGTCACAAAAAAAAAACGCTTCGATGCAAATCTTTAAATAGTGTTTAATTTTAAAAACTTGGTGGATTATTCCAAAAGCTACATGATCTGCTAGTTCCTTATTAATATCCTGATTAAGATAAAGTATGTCAAATGAAAGAGAGATTATTAAAAAATATTATTTTTCATAAAAAAATTGTGTAGATCCATACACTTTTTAATAAGTTATAGCATTATAAAGTTATAAATGTAAAAAATAAAATCCAGAATTTTCACACAAAAATAGCATTTGATAGCCATTTTCACCATGAAGATAAAATAAAGTCCGAAATTTTTTTTTTTCATAATAAAGTACATTAGCTTTAATTTAAAATATATATAAAAGTTTCAGACCTTCCAGAACACTTTCAAAAGTTAAGTTGAAAAAGTTAATTTTTTGTGAAAAAGTTATCATTTTAAATCGCTCCCTGTGGGCAGGTAAAGGGTTAAATTTATGAAAAAAATATACCAAATGATAGGTAAGGACATCATGCATCTATAAAAAAAAAATGTATATTGATTTGGCCATTTTTAAAATAGTTATGGCAATTTTAAGTAAAAAAAAATTGAAAAAATTAGTGATTTTTAAATTTGTAATTTTTTTGGAGGTTTCCCTCATTTACGGGGAACGATGGAAATTTTTTCAATTTCTTCGACTAGATACGATTTGTGATTAGATACTTTTGACGTATCATTGAAAGAAATTGGTTCGGTGAGAGCTGAGAAAAAGTGGTAACAGACAAAAAAAAAAAAANAAAAAAAAAAAAAAAACACATCTTAGTAAAATTAATACCTTTTCAGCTTCACATCGAAGCTAAAATATATTATCCAAATATAACTACTAATTGTTATAATTGGACAATATTGTCAACTCGACTTGCAATCTATAGATTGTAACAATATTATTATACCATTATTACAGAATGCAGTTGTGAAATAAATTTATAATTATAAATTAAATAATATTATGATATTTTGTTCAATAATTTTTTTTGTTAATGGCAACATACATATTTAACTATATTATCTTTTTTCCATTGTCTTTATCCTCCTAACTACTTGAGATACGCTAATATTTAACTAGATTATAAAATAAAAAAATTATCTAACTAAGAAAATGACTGATAATTTATTCCATTAGTTATAACCATTTTATATGGGTGGGTACAGCTCATACTGGTGTATATGTATAATGCCTACTCCGCCCGCTATTCTACTACCCACTCTAAATTTTAAAATACTTGTATTTCAATCAAAATTTGACCTAAACTTGTTAAGAATGACAACTATTTAAATTTATTTCTACTCGTTACTTGCATTTTAAAACTATGAGAGGGTTTATCTTCATACTGTAAAACTCTTCTTATTGTTGGAGATTTTTCTTCTGCTTCTTGGATAGATTTGGAACTATCTGGTGATGATGGTGGTGAGATTAATTTTTGATTCTGTATTTTTTCTAGCAATCCATTTGGTTTCATAATTAATTGCTCTTGATATCTTTTAAAAGTAAAATATTTAAAAACAATACTCATAAAACAATTTTGAGAAAATATAAACCAAAATAAAAATATAGAGTTCTATTATTGAAACAATCAATTCAACAATAAAAACTAAATAATTCTGTTTATTTAAATTTTTGGTCAATACATTCCTCTAATCCTACACGGATAATATTTAATCTACTTAAACATTCAATGATTCTCTGGTAGAATCATGTTACAAATCTAACTAAGTGTGTTAAAAATATGTTTAAACCATTAAAATTAAATATACTAATAAAAATATGAGTTAGAAATTAAAGGTTTTAGTGCAATGACCATTTTTAACAAAAGAATATGCCCATTAATTAACCCATATTGTTGAAATTATTTGTTTATCAGAAAATATCAATTTAAAAAAAATCTTTGAAATTGACTAGTTATTGCACTAAATATGCAATAAATTTTCGAAATACTTATGCCTGTATGCATGATCCTGACCTAATGTGCTACATAATAAAGTATTAATTAGTAATTATTAGATTAGAAAACTTTTGATTTAGAAGTTATAGATATATTTTTGTGTAGCCCATCTACTAAGTGGAAGTCAATATTACACACATTTACTAACTTATTGCTCATACAATATATTATATGCATATCAAAATTAAAATGTAAAGGTGGTATGGAATATATCAACCTATGTATCCAGTTAACCGAAACAATATGCCAGCTTTTAATGAGATCATTTTTGACAAGAAAAAAATGATTGTACATGATTTTATAATCTTCACTAATAAGTTTACATATTCAAATCATTAAACAAAGAATAGAAGATTTATTAAGCATTGCACAGAATAATGAATAGTAGAATATTTTACTTTCTTGAATTGGTCAGACTTACAGATACTATGTGTTAACCTAATATTATAGGATAATTCCTCTATCAAGAAACTATAAAACAACTTTATCAAAATTCCAGGTACTTCAATAAAATTTAAAACATTCCAGGATTCCCCTCACTAAAATAAAAAATCTCTAATTTTTTCCGACTTTCCTCATTTCCCAGATTTATGGTAATCCTGATTCCAGTAATATTTTCTATCAGTTTCTATTTTTAAATATAAAATATTCAATAATTCAAACCAATACCTTAAATTCTTTAAATCTTCAGATTTTGGTGAATCTGACAAAGGATTTGAACCATTGGGAAAATTTCTATGAAACATAGCCTGAAACGTTTAAGTTAAAAACAAAAAAGAAATTAATATTTTTTACCGTAAAAAAAACAATTTTTGTATTTAAAATCTAAAAATATAATAAATTGAATTACCACTACCATGGTTTAAATTTTGAATAATAGTAAAGGAATATTATGAATTTTTTCCAAACTTAATTTGTTTTTTATAAATATCTTACCCGTCTTCCTGCTCCTGCACATTGCTGAACTGGAACAAGAACATCACAACTTGATGTAAATTTCAAAGGAGTAGAAACCGGTGTAGGGAATAGAGAAGTAACAGATTCTTTTTGGATCATTGACTCAACTGGAGTTACAGATGAAGCTTTAGAGAATAATATTTCTGTAGGTTGCATAGCTTGTGCTTCATTAGCTGTTTGAGCAATACGACTTTTAAGATAGCCTCGGCCAACCATGTCTAAAATTAAATTTGTAATAATTGAAAAATTAATACCCAAATAATAATCCAAAAGGTTTCTATTGTTTATATTAATTGACCTATTTCCTTAGTTATTGAACACTGTGCATTTATTACTATATTAATTTACTATTCACTTTGGAATCTTAGTTTACAGGCGGTGCATACTTTATAAGATTGTTTATAGCAAAACGACATCGCTGGGCTAACTAATCTTTATCTGAAGATCTAAACATACAAAAGAGAAAACTATATCATTACCTGCAAGTATTTTATTTTCCTCTTTAGACCATTAAGTAAATGAAGACTTTTAAAGAAGTAGAAACACGATTTTTCAATAGATGCTATTTTGTTAATTATGATACAATAACGCTAATGAAGAACTTTTCCCATTGTGGTACTGACCAAAATGCAAAATTCACAAATTAAGATCGTTGCGTCTGTACAATTCTGAAGTGATTATAATTTGAAACTGTTTGTTTACATTTTACTTGAAAACATATTTGCCATCTGTTATCAATATGCTGCAGAAGCAATAAAGGAGAAAACACCTCTGCCACGAAATGATAATGCACTGACATTTCACAATTGCCGTTAATACGAATATTTGATACTCCGAATATTAAATAACAGAGGTTACTAAATATTAATTCGACATTTAATATCCCAGACCCATCGTGTGTTTTTTCAGCTTCTATGCGAAGATGAGAAGGTATAAATTTTACTATGATATGTTTTTTTTTTAATTTTTTTTTTGTGTCTGTGAACGCTCAATCTTAGCTCTCGCTGGACCGATTTTGATGAATAATACATCAAAAGATCACAAATCGTATCTAGTCGAAGACATTACTCTCAAAAGTAGAAAAAAAATTCCCTCGTTCACCGTAAATGGGGGAAATTCCCAAAAAATTACAAATTTATAAATCGCTAATTTTCAATTTTTTTTACTTAAAACTGCCATAACTTTTTTAAAAATGACCGAATTAATATAATTTTTTTTTTTATAGATATCATATGTATTTACCTATCATTTGCTATATTTTTGTGAACATTTGACCCTTTACCAGCCCACAGAAAGAGTTTCAAAATTGCAACTTTTTCAACTTAACTTTTGAAAATGTTCCAGATAGACTGACACTTTTATATATATCTTAAATTAAAGCTTATGTAATATTCTTTAATTTGAAAAAAAAATTTGACCTCTGGATTTATCTTTTTGGTGAAAATGACTACCATATTCAAAAATATGCTATTTTGTCTTAAAATTCAGGGTTTTGTATTTTATTTTATTTTAAAATACCTGATAAGGAGAATACACTGATTTTTAAAAATATTATATTTTCATCAAAATCGGTCCAGCGAAAGCTAAGATTGAGCGTTCACAGACGCAAAAAAACGGTAGCACAATGGGGGGGTTGCGGCACAGTATGGAAGTGGCATAGTATAGATGATATCTGTCAATGATTAAAATCACTATCATAAGAAACCCTTCGATGCAAATCTGTAGTGTTTAATTTTAAGATATTGGTAAATTATTTCAAAAGCACCAATAACTCTTATTCCCTTAATTTTATCCCGATTAGTTGTTTGATTTATTATTATATTATATGAATAAATAATAATTATAGCAATTAAATTAGTAAGAAATTGACATTCAATTTTTTTTTTTTTTTGCATATGGCATGGTATTGGTGTACAAAAACAAAAAGTAAAACGGAATACAATAAAATAAAAAGTGATAACGGATTAATAAAAATAAATACATAAAATCAATAAATAAAATAAAATAAACAAATAAACTGATAAATAGATAAAAAGATAAAAAATCTACAATGTAACAACTATAAAATGTTATAAGCGTATGGCGAGGAGGTTACGCAGCCAATCTAGCGCTTCTTTATTGCCTTTATTTAGACCTGATGTTCCTCCACTGAACTTCGTTTCCTAGCATTCCTCAACAATGTACCTTACAGTTTGAATCTGGCCACATTTATAGAGCGGAGAATCCACCATTCCCCCATTTGTACATCAGATAATTGCACCTTCCCTGTCCAGTTCTTACACGGTTTAAAGCAGTCCATGCTACGCAGGGAATTCGAAGCCTGGGACTATTTGGGTTGGATCACTTATAAGATAGTTATTCGGTACTACTCCATCCTTCCAATGTGAGTTCCGTAAGTCTTCTTCTGTATTTGTACTATTTTTTAATGTCCATATAGGATTTCTGGATTTTAATCTTTTGTTTGGTGCGTTATACAAGTCATCATAGATTGGATGGCTTGGAGAGTTTTGTATTTTCTCAATCATCTTTAGCGCTGCTCTATGCCTACGCACCTTTGGCGGGGCTATATGTGAGAGTACTGGTAGCCATTCTAACTTAGTTGGTTTGACACATCCTGATATAATTCTCATTATACGATTTAATTGTGCGTCGACATTTTTAGTGTGAGTACTCCTAGCCCACACTGGGCGCAGTATTTCTGCAACGCTGTAAACTAATGCCAATGATGAAATTCGTAGGACGTTAGCCCTACATCCCCAGGTTGTTCCGGCCAGTTTGCTGATGATATTATTTCGTGTTTTTAACTTGTCTTTTACCCCTTCTAGGTGTTGTTTAAAAGTTAATGATCTGTCAAGCTTAATGCCTAGGTATTTTGGTGCATTTTCGGTCGGTATATAATTACTATCCACTCAGAAACGTATTTAGAAATTTGGCGCCCAGGTGCTAATTTTTTTTCCGCCCCCCATACAATTTTTTTTTTGCTTTTTTCCCTAACAAGCGTATACTTAATATACTATAAGACATTTAAATAACAATTACACATAAAAGGACTTGCTTCCACTTGTTAAACAAAAGTTAGTAACAAAAGAAAGCAGAGTTTAAAATTTAAAAATTATGTCATCTTTATTTATTAATCACAAATACAAAGTGGTTTATTAACTATCTACTAATTATAAAACAAATATTTACAATTCACATTATTTTTTTACGAGCTTTAGAGGAACTATACTAATCAATTATATCATCATACTTTAAACTTTTTGTGACGTCTGATTCAATATTTAATATAGCTATACTGTTCAGTCGTTCATCTGTCATTTTCGACCCTAAGTAATTTTTTTTAAAGCACTAAATGATCACTCTGAAGAGCAATTTGATACAAGATAACAGAGATACATTCTTAGAGCAATATTTACATAAGGGTATATGTCTTCAAATCCTTCATTTTTAAGTCTTAGACACATCTCTATAATGGATTTTGATAATTGTGCTTTACGTAAAGTAAGAAGTACGAAAGTGGATACATTCGTTTGGAAATGATAAATCCAGATCCGTCGAATAGTGTTTTCTTAACCGTTCAGCTTTTTTTCAAACTTCACTAATGCTTAATTCAGTTATATTAAAATATAGTTTAAAAAAACTAAAAAAACACGCTTTTAAAGCACATCGAACTAAAAAGTTAAAAATAATTATTTTAAAAATAATTTTAAAAATAATTTTTAAAATAATTATTTTTAACTTTTTAGTTCGATGTGCTTTAAAAATGTGTTTTTTTAGTTTTTTTAAACTATATTTATTTTTCACTTTTTAGTTTCATGTTATGATAGTAGTTACTATCAATATCGTGGTTGTAACGGTAACGGGAAATCAAGGTTCGATTCCGATTCTCATTGTTTGTAACAATGAGAACAATAGAAACCCGTTTCCTGACTTACTGAACACCCTGTATACGTAAGCCTAGGGGTGACGGTGTTACAGGTATACCGATTTGAGGTCAATATACCGGTATACCGTCTTTTTCATTTATACAATATACCGAAAATATTGAATATACTGATAATCCCAAAAATATTGAAATATGGAGTATACCGATAACCGAAATTAGTTATTGAATATTGTAATTTATTTTTAGATTGTTCAAAATTTCCAGTGAGAAATATATGACATATTTACAATACTAAATATACATATCTTAAATACCGATATGGGTTCGTATTACTTTGTTTTTATCGTTATTGCGTGTTGTTTATCACAATAATTGCATCTTAGCGTTTATATCCAATTGAACATAAAATATGGAACCTATAAATTTAGAGTCAGACCCTTTAAAGTGGTGGAAAGTCTATCAAAATGAATTTCCAACTTTGGCCGTACTTGGTAAAAAATATTTATCCGTGCAGTGTACTAGTGTTCCAAGCGAACGTGTATTCAGTTGCGCGGGCAATATAATTACTGATCATAGATCATCCCTATCAACAGAGCATGCTGAAGAGCTCATATTTTTATCTATGAACTCTAAATTTGTATCAAAATAATTAAATAAAATAATAATTTGTGATCTTGTTTTTTTTTTTATAAATTAATTATAAATTAATTAATTTACATTAATGTTATTAATGTTATTATGTAATATCGGAAATATCGAGATACCGAAATATCGAGTATATCGAAATTATCGTATCCAAATACCGGTTTAACGATATTTTCGGTATACCGATTCATACCGGTAAAAAATATCATACCGAAATATCGATATTAAAAAAAAATAACGTCACCCCTACGTAAGCCGTATGACACGCGGATGATAACGGTCAGTTAAAATAAAAATTTGTTTGTACATATATAATATTGATGACAAGCAAGTGTGTACGGGTACGATAACCAAAAATAAATGTATACAGGAATAGTGTAGCCGTCGTGATGTGAGCGAGGTGTGGGGTAGGGTGAATGTGTTATGACAGTCTAGTCTCAAGGCCATAGACGACGAAATATGCGATAACATGTGGCGCTAGGAGAGTTACAAACATACATACATACTAGAGATGGGAATTATGGTTCACCCAAGTGATCCGATTCATTCGAATCAGGTCAACTAGAAGATCCGGTTCAAGGACCCGTTCGTGATCTAAAAGATATTTTGAGTCAATTGAATCGAACATTCAGTATAGTTTCAGTTCTTTTGCGGTTCTCGATTCGCGATTCGGATTAGGGATGTGTTGTATAAACAAATGACATATGAATATGTTATCATTGATATTTGGTAAGCGATCGAATCGATTCAGTGTGATTTATACGGGGAAAAATTAGGTATTTGGAGGATCCGGATCACTACGGTTCGGCGATCTGAAACATTTCGTTCACTATTTAACCGTTCACTGTGATCCGTTCGTTCGCGAACGACTCATCTCTAATACATACATACGGGTGAAACTAATATAAGCGTGTGTTAAATACGGAATGAAAAATTTTCATTTACCAGGTCATATGTAATTTTTCTTTTTCTCAAATCGATAAATAAGGAGTCCATGATTACAACAAAAGTGTTAATTTTAAATGATTCTTTAGAATTAAAATCAACTTCTTCAATTTTCAGTTTTTTATTTTTTATTTTTTCTCTTAGTTTTGTATCCATTTATTCCAGATCTTGTATTTTCAATTTCTTCATATTTCCCTTTTTATTATAAATAATGTCATTAACAATTAAGGATATAATTAACATGAAAATTACAGTATTTATGGTTACTTTCTAAATATTAGTATAATACTTTCTAGTGTTACAATAAATTCCTTATAACTAATAATGTTTATAAAACAATTATGTGTTCACGAAAACATCATTAAATAGGAAATTTTATGGAAAATAAAAAAATTGTATCGTTAAGATTAATATGCAGTCAGGAAATTTTATAATAACTATTTATAGTAAATTTATCAAAAAGCTCAATATTTTTTTAACACGCTTATATTAGTTTCACCTGTATGTAAGTATGTTTGTATGTAAATATGTATGATTTATTCCTCCCACTCTTATAAGTTGTATAATGTTCTTCCCTCTTTCTAAAATAAGTATTAACTACTGCAAAATCCATGATTCTTTCTCCAGCCTCATTCTTCCGACTAAAACCATACTCTCCATGTACTCTTTCATATCCTCTCCTCTCATTACCTACATATAATGAAAAGATCCTATACATTAGTTTACGATAAAATTTAATTCATAGATTAAGAAAACTCAGTACCCTTTATCACTGAAAATTCTTCTGAAACGCTAAATTATTGGTTTAGACATAATTTTCAAAGAATTGGCAGTTTTTTTTACATTTAAAATGTAAGAATTTAATATATTCTTACATTTTACATGTAAAAACATTTATCAAAAAATGTTGATAAATAGTAAGAAAAATATTTGTGTGTATGCATTTTTAATACTTAATGTCAAAATTAATTTACGCACTAAAAATATCATACTGATTTATTAATTTCGATTCAAAGCTGAGAAGGTATTAATTTTACTATGATGTTTTTTTTTTTTTTTTTTTTCTGTTACCAATTTTTCTCAGCTCTCACCGAACCTATTTCTTTCAATGATACGTCAAAAGATCACAAATCGTATTTAGTCGAAGAAATTGAAAAAATTTTCCTCGTTCCTCGTAAATGGGAGAAACCTCCAAAAAAATTACAAATTTAAAAATCACTAATTTTTTCAATTTTTTTTACTTAAAATTGCCATAACTTTTTTAAAAATGGCCAAATCAATATACATTTTTTTTTTATAGGTGCATGATGTCCTTACCTAACATTTGATATATTTTTTTTATAAATGTGACCCAGTGAGATAATTGTTATACTGTCTCGTTGATATTCTTTCTCGGATGTCTATTTATACTTTTGTTAATAGAAACATTTTAGTTATTCACCTGCATAAGCATTTAAATATTTGACAACATATTATTCACACTAAGTGACAGTGACACGTAAACAATTTCAGTTAAACGTTTTTTGTGAAATTTTCAAGTAAATTCATATGCCTAAATTGCATTTGGCGATTTCAATTTACTGTTATTGCTACTAAATATCTTTCATCAGTGAAGTTAATTCAGTAGTGTCAAATTTAAATTGAAGAACAGAGTGACAATTTTAAGTGGTTGTATAAATAACTATCAAATAATAATTTATCTTTTAAGCAATAGAATAATAAATATTAAATAAATATAGTTTAAAAAAACTAAAAAACACGCTTTTAAAGGACATCGACTAAAAAGTTAAAAATAATTTTTAAAATAA